CAGTACTAAGAATAATTGGATGTTTTTGTTGGTAAAATACTAATCATTTACTTACTGATAAAAATATCAAGTTCTACTAAATTAAAAAAGAACAATTTGTGTTAATTTACTTTTTTTTGCTTACACACAAATTCATTAAATGCAACTGTTACCAGTAGTCTGTTAGCATTTTTTTTACTATATTTTTCCACTATATTTTTTTTCTCAAAGATATTTTTAGGGTTAGATGGGTTAAACTGAAGCATCAAAGAAAAACAGATACACACAGAATTGTTGAAGAACAAGCAAGTAGGGTTCACAATGATTGTTTGAAGTGAAATAATAGAATACAGATTAATGACACATTCACAAATCATGTAATTGCTTTTAAAACGATATAAAAACGAAGAAGCAAAAAACAGAAACAAAAAACAAACAAACAAAAAAACATTATTGCAAATACAACAGGACAAAACAATATAAAACAAACACACAAATAACTTTAAAAAAAAAGACAAAAAAAGGGGGGGGAGAGATTTACTGAGTAATGCTGGAAGTCAGGTTCTCAACCTGAAGGCTGAAAAAGTATTTCAGGAATTGCCCCCACACCTTGTAAAAGAGATTAATGAGGTAGACCATAGAGAAGAGAATTACCAAGGCCAATGTAGATTTTAACTATTTAACAGGCCACTAATCTAGTTTATGGCTTTGCACTTTCACAACCAAACATGTATCTAAACACATTGTTTTAATAAAAAACACTATTGATATTATTATTATTGCTGTTATTTAACATGTAATTAAACAGAAATGTTCATTAAATATAAAAGCAGATTGCTTATGTTGTTAAAAAAGGCTATATTTGACATTAATAGATGCTACAGATGTTCAAAAGCAATGAAAAAAGCCTTAACATAAATACAGGGTTTAAGAATATGTAATGTTATAAAGGTTCATAAGGGTGAAGCTTCTCCAGGTTTGCTCATCATATTTCAGAAGAAAAAAAACCTGTGCACCATGAACATGCGAACTGATCTATGTCAGAGAGGAGGAAAGCAGTGACATGGAATTTTCAAACCATATTGTTTTGTCCTTCCGCACTGAGAAGCAAAATTTCCATCTTACTTAGTTTTTCTAATTTAAGACAATTCAAATAAACTGGGTTGATCGACTTTTTGGATGAAAAGTACTGGTAACTTACTTAAACTGAGTTCTAATAACAAGTTGATAAAAACTGAGTTCAGTCTACTTAACAGAAAATTTAAAGATGCTGCCACACACAGACGCAGCGGCTCACTGCTCCTCACGTTCGGTGCTTTGTTTTTTACTTTTTCCATATGTATATGTGTGGGTGTATGTGTTTTCTATTACTATACATCAAGTGGATTCCACTTACAGTTGTCAGGACCTTTTGAGTTTACACTGTGCAAGGAACATTATGTCGGACTATCACCACTTCCATGTCATTCTGGAGGACATAATAAGAACTCCAGGGTCTCCGTGGTTGGTTCTTCCCAGCGGTAAGCCAAAGACGAAACATAAACAAAGGAGGCAAAAGCGTGGCTGCGCTAGCACGGCTAAAGAAACAACCATTTAAGCCACCGCTTCCGAGTATCTTCCTCTTCAACGTCAGGTCCATAACCAACAAAAATGACAAACTGAGATTACAAACTGCAGTCAACAAATATGTACAGGACAGCAGCATTGTACTACTCACAGAGACTTGGCTGCAGCCATCAATTCCGGTATTTACCTATACCTTATCCGTAGATTAATTCCAAACAGCTCTCATGTTTCCTCATTTTTCTGATCTCCTAACATGGGGACGTGTTGGGTGCCCGGAAGCCTAACATATTGACAATTTTTCACCTAGCGTAAAATGTTATGCTTTGGGAGGGAGAACCTGTTGGGACGGAAGTGTATTTGTGAAACTGTTGGACTGTTCCATTATCAGTGTCTAACATTATGTGTATGACAGTGATGTAATGTCGATATGTGCATGCTGAAAGAGACTGTGCTGGTCTGACCCCCCTCCTCCTTTCAGGGTGGAGCCTGCTGGAGTCCAATGGTTGAGACCAGGTCTGAGGAAGTGTAAGTGTGTTTTTAATGTGATTCATGAAAACAAAGCAGCACACATTCAACCATCTTCAAACTGTCACATCACTCATTCACATTTCTGATGTCAGGAGGCATCAAAGTGTCAATCAGTGAACAGATGATGGATCAATAACTGCAGCTGGATTGTGTTTGTTCTCTCCACCAGATTCCTGTCAAC